CTACTGGACGTAAATTTGCCAAGAGAAACCACACAACAGCCAGGGGCTGTTAGGGTTGGTTCTGCAACGTCCTGTAAAGGATACGCAACTAACTAACTATATACTTTGTGTCTTGCAGAAAGTACGACGGTTTCAAAGGCGTATGCCAAGCCTACTTGAAGCATTTCCATGAGTGCGATCCTGCGGGTCCTAAAGATGGCCACTGTGGCTGCGGACACTCACTGATGTGTACGGGGTTTTCTAGCGGCTACCCTAGATGTAATTACATCTTGCCCTAGCCCAATCGTCGGACAGCTGAATCAGCGATATGAACACACTGACTTTAGTTACAAATTACACATTACAAGAAACGCAATGACTGTGTATTTGTTGTATCCTGTGTGTGTATTATTGTTTCACTCTCGTAGCTGCTGGGGCACTGTTTTCTAAAGTGGGTGCTGCCACCCCCGGTAATTTGGGCGCTGGGACAGTCCAAGGTGCTGCAGCAGTGTCGTTAATTTTTTTTTTTTTTTTTAGTGGGGGGGGGGGGACAGGGGAAAGGGGGGGGGGGTACTGGAATGTCCCGTAGGAAGCGGTTGGAGCCTAGGGCAGAGAATGGACATTAACTCAAAAACAAGTTATTGATTAAGAAAAAAATTGAAGTAGAAACATTCTGATGAACTATTCGTGCATGTTTCAGTGTTGCGTAAGAGTGAGTATTTTAAATGCAAATTAAAAAAAAAAATACAAGTTATTACTTGTCAGGGCAGTCCGTCTCATTTACGTTACTTGAATGTCACTCTTAGTTTCTGTTTTATTATTATTTTCCCAACAATTTCCTCATTGTTTGGAAACTCGCCCCAAACATAAAATTCTGCAAGCAGAAGTTACTCACAATATGTGTTCGTGGATAAGACATTTCCTGTACCAACGATAGCTAGAATTAAAATAGTCAGTCAGTCGGTTCAACATTAAAGAGACATCAGCAGAAGAAGAAATCAAATGCATAATAGGAGAAATAAATATTTTCAAGACAGTGCTGAGCGGGGAAAAAGAAAACCGTAAGAGATCAGAAGGAAAATAAAACTATGTCTAGCAACAACAAAAAAGTGCAGAGAAGTCTCCAAGAAAAGACAGATAAAATAAAGACAATATTAAAAGAAACCCAAAACGCACAGTTACTTCTTCTTCTTCTTCTTCTTTTCCTTCTTCTTCTTTTCCTTCTTCTTCTTCTCGGGCAGATGCACTCCCTAGTTCGAAGAAAGCTCCAAGTTAGTTGACCCCCGCGACATGCTTATTGTGGGAGGCAGTGGGTCTATTCTTGTTTTCACCACAATGGGGCCCCGGAACCTACACGGGGTAGTGCATAAACAAATGGCAACGGATATTTTAAAGCTAACAGAAGCAAAAGCTGAGCTAGACAAAACGCTGAAAACAATGGGAAAGTGGAACGAAGAAATGGCGGCTATTTGGGAAACAGAAAGACAAAGAGACAGACGAATGGAGACAGGGAGCAGTAAAAGAAATAAAATAAATTAACGAGAATGAAATGGAAACGTCCAATAGTGTTAAGGAAGCAGAGACACTTCACAAAATATCAGAGAAAGGCTCAGATGAAATGAAAGCAGGCAACAATGCAGATCAGAGAAAATGAAGTAAGATACGGTAACCAAACCAGTTGGTAAAAGACTGATAACAACACAGGAAAAAATAGTAACGAATAAAGATGGAGAACACAGAGATAAAATTGTTACAGTAGAACTGCCGAGGAATTACAATTTAAAAATCTACAAATAGTACGGAGGTGAGAACATAATGGCGTTACAGGAAACCTTACTTAAACGGAATGACAAATTTAACTAGGAAGAATACACAAAACACAGAAATGATAGGTCAGAAGGCAAGTGAGAAAAAAAAAGGAGCGGGGGTTGCCATACTGATACCAGAAAATATGAGTGTTAATATAGGAAGATTTTTCTGTGGCGTAGATGTTGCGAACGCACTTCGTGATGCCTGGGTGCCTGGTTCGATCCCAGATGCGGTCTGTTTGTGTTTGTTGGTTTCGACAGTGGTACCGAAAACTGACCGTTTAGGAATCAATGGCAAACTACTGAACATAAAATTAGCCTGGAAAACCCACAACAGCACACACACAAAAAAAAAAAAAAAAAAAAAAAACTGGTTGGTTCTGCAACGTCCTATAAAGAATACGCAACAAGCTTTTAAAAGACCATTTTCCACGCCACTAGGCGCATTGGGCATACGGGACTGGACCTATATGTTATAGACCAATTGGTACACGGTGGGTGATAAGTTAACAGCACGCGGACAGCTTTTACTTCCCAGGACTTTATCTGGTTCCCATTTAAGGCTCAGATCACTAGCTTTTATTACATTTACATGTGGCTGTGAAACGTGGACCTTAGCAGTTGAATAAGCATTAGAAATGCGATGTTTCAGAAAAATTCTTGGCCTGTCATACAGAGACCACTTTACAAACGAGGAAGTTCGCCATAAAATTATACAGCACATTGGCAACTATGAACCTCTTCTAACTACAGTGAAAATGAGAAAAATGCAATGGTTTGGTCATGTGATAAGGTCTGACGGCCTCTCAAAAACAATACGGCAGGGCTCAGTAGAGAGAAAGAGGGAAAGAGGCAGACCAAGAAAGACCTGGTTACAGAACCTGACTGACTGGACAGGCCTCAGGCATGCAAGCATGAAGTCCATCGCAACTGACCGCCAAAGGTGCAGAGAGCTGATCAGACAGTCAACAGAAACTGGTGACCTAACGTCACCTAGTATTACGGGATGATGATGATGATTTAAAGCTGAATCGACCTGGGAGCCAAGGTCATTCTAACAAGTGATAATAATTTCCGGCTCCGCCAAGATCTGAACCCACGACCCTTGGATCCACAGCGATCGTCTTGCCACTACTCCACGACGGCTACCAGCACGATTGATGACGTGGGAGTACAGCATGGTGAAGCACGCTTATACAGCCTTGAAGAACAAGATAGGAAACATTCTAACCAGCTTCTCATGGGGACAATCAGTAGAGTTACCTTGGAGTGGCTAACGCATCGGAGGACTGAGCACTCATGAGAATGCGGGACGTAGATGTGATAACATAACCACGCACATTGGTACCTCGGGTCATGAACTGAATTCTTCTTTTTCTTTGGGTCACCAGCTGTAAACTCCGGCAGAAAGTTCTGGTTGTTCGTCCACCTCGGTACTTTAGTCTTTTTCCAGAAATTGAGTTTTACAGATCTGGGTTATTTGCTTGCAGATTGTTGCTTCCTCGACCCACAGGCTTTTGTACCCTGACTTAAAAGGAGGCCCTCAGTTGGTCGACTTCTACGACAGGCTTGTTGGGAAGGCAGTGGGTCTATCCCCCCCCCCCCCCCCCCCCCCCTTTAACACTGGGCCCTGGAACCCACACAGGGAAAGCAACTTTATCCGTTCTATGACTCCATTTGCGACCCGGACTAATTCTTCCTATTGAAATTTACTCCACTTTCACTTACAAATTTACTTCCTTGGGATCCATACTTAAGGTTAATTGGGAAAAAGGGAAAAGGGGGTGGGGGGTGTATCAAGACCAACGCAACCACAAATAATATTCACAGCAGGCTAACCTGCGTACAACTGATGCTGCTTTTTCGAGCCCCAAAATATACCGCCAAAACCATGTTTTCTGCGTTCGTGCGCCCAGGTATTGCTCGCGGGTCGAGTCCAAATTTGTTCCGAAATTGTGTTTGCGGGATGAATTGTTCGTTACTAGAAGCGTTCGTGATCCGAGGTACAACTGTACCTCTCCTATCTCGTACAAAGAAGTGGATGAAAATGACTACGGCAAATTTACAATCTTTCATTTTGTTTACATGATAATGGAATATAATATAACATTATTATAACATACTTTATTTATCTTATCAATTATTAACTGGTTCAAGGATTGTTGCCAGCCCAACACGGACTGGATCTACGATACAAACTACCATAGGCGCTGGTGTCTGGGGTCTCCTGCTTCTTGCGCTCCCCCACCCCACCTGTATTTTTTAACACGCTTTGTGATGTGTACTATCAAATTTTATCCTGGGGGGGGGGGGGGGGGTGTTAACTGCATTAATAACGACAGTAGTAATAAAATAAGCAGAATTGGGGCCTAGCATATTAATTTTCCGGGCCGCTATGAGAAAAAATTATGGATGTTGCTTGTAACTTTTAAAAATTAGAGTATACACTAGACAATACAAAAAATTTAAAGCAAGAGCGGCTATAGCTGGAGTCGAGCCGGTGAGTTTGTTTCAGCATGCCGGATTCGTAGACATTTCCGGTACGCCAGAGTTACGTTTCTTTCTTTTATATTTCCGGTGTCAGGAAGATGGTAAGATTTGTCGAAACTGGACATTTTTAGATTAAAAGAAATCTTAAAACATCTATATTTTCATTATGCCTTACCTTTAACTGGATTGATAATGCTTTAACGTCCTTGCTTAGTTTTTGTTTTATGTGTAATGAATCGAATATAAATATGGATTGTTATGCTTGTGCCGGTATAACCATGAAGAATTATATTGAAAGCAGAATTTGTGAAGGCTTCTTTGCGTGAGTATATAATATAAGCACCGTAAGCTCGGTGATTTAATTTTAAGAACCCTGGTAGAGTAGGGAACATTTTATATTTGTATGTATGCTTTCATTTAAAGTTCTTATATTGTTCTGAGTGACCAAGAGGTACATTCTACTTCAAATAAATATTTTAGAAGATTAGTGATTAATTCAGAAACTGGCTCTCTAATCTGATTATAAATTTTGTGTTTGGTCTAGTTTCGGTTGTTTATTTTTAGTTTACACTTGAGAATATGTCTGTGCCATTTAGCATATATGGGTAGCATATTTGTTTCGATGTAAGCGTAAGGATTACATGTTATTCTTTTTAATGCATCAGTTGATTTTCCCCTTTCTTTGGGCCTATTTTAACTATTTATTATTTCTTCCACATGGTGATGGCTGTCTCTGGGGTTCTTGGTTTTAGGGCTTCCTGTTCTCGCCAGATCGCCAAACCATTTTGGCTATTTTCTGGTTAGCGACAACATTACGCAAGATTTGGGGGGAGGGGGGGAGTCCCCCCGCGCCGCATGAGCAGCGCGGGGGACTCGTAGCGGTAGCCGTCGGAAAACCGCAAATTAAGTCGCCAGAGGTAGACAATTGACTTATGACAGGCTCGTAAGGATATTTTGCGACCGTCATCTAGTGTTCGTTATTCAGAGGATAGCCTAATTTTTGGTGACAGGTATACAAGTTACTGAAGTCCACCCTCTTGTTAAACACGTAATCCATAATTTTGACAGGACCACACCTTTTCCGAGTGGCTATACTAATCTGTTGGTTATGTTAAAGATCCAAATTTTTATTTTATTTTTTGGGCTTTTGGAGAATCAAACATTTTGCTTTTTACAAGAGGCTTATTATAAACCTACTTTTGTTGTCACTTCGGTATTTTGTACAGGTCTTGACGAATAATAATTTTCACTTATTATTTCAGACAAAAGGAACATCCAGTTTTGGTAAAAGGCATAATAAGACCCACACCTTCTGTCGGAGGTGTGGGCAGAGGGCCTTCCACATTCAGAAGAAAACGTGTGCTAGATGTGCATACCCAAGCCCTCGTCTAAGGCACTGTAAGTCACACTGTCATTGTAATTATTAATATTTTACTTTTGTGTTTGGATTCTACTTTGTTTGCAGGTGCTCTTTGGGGGAATCATTTGGGTTATAGTAACCCGTTCGTCTGTGGCTTAGAAATATGCTTCATGATAACAGGGTGCCTGGGTTTGGTAGCAGGCATCTCTTGATTGTTGGTTTTGATGGTATCAAGAGCAGATTTAAAATTTTTTTTTTTTTTTTTAGCTTTAAAGATTACCCATAAAGGGTTATGAATGGGCTTGTTAGTTACATGAGGATTTTAATGTTGCAAGTAAATCTGCCTGTTGAAATTATAAACAACACAAATAAATATAAATAGTTGTTGTTCTGCAGCAGCTTATCGAATATACAGGATATCTTCCCAATAACGGTCCCAAATTATCTAGGCCGAAAATATACCCAAGCAGGGCCCTAGTCGCATGTAAATGCGGACTTTCGGCACCGCCGAGAATATCCGCCCCCACGCCGTACATAGCGGCATGGAGTGGGGCTAAACTAGATGGCTGGGGTTCACGGGCAAATAAAAGGAAGTAAGCTGCAGGAGATGTGGTTGCTGCTGCTTGTGAGTCCCAGCCATCTAGTTTCGCCGTGTGTACTGGCATGGGAGATACCCTCAGCGGTAGCAGTAGTTGCTGGAAGTCCCGCAGTTTACATGTGACTGAGGCCCTGTTAGGGTATATTTTTAGCCTCGATAATTTAAGACCGTTATTCGGAAGATAGCCGATATACAATTAACTCCATGGAAGTGATTTACTGGGTTGTGAAATGGTTATTTTGTAAAAACTACAGGTAGAACATGGTTAATTTATATAAACTACAGGTGGTAGAATTAAGGGTTCGACGATGATACAAGTGGGAAGGCAACAGAACACGATTCCTGGTTGGCGGGAACAGCTATCTTTATGATATCCCTGTATGCCATCGTTTCAGCCCATCCAGCATCGCTGACATTCTAAGATTTGCTGTTATACAGCAGAACAGGTTCTTTGTAAAATTTTAACACTTTCTTTCTGACGTTAAATGCGAGTGACTTATTGAATAAGATATTTTTCATTTTCTAAAATTCTGCCTTGCTTGATATTAATCACTGTGACACAATTTCCATCTCTGATATAATTGTTCCCAGATATGTGAATTTATTGACTTGGTTAAGCCTTTTTGCTTCAATTGAGATATCACAGTGTGGTGTCATCTTTCACTTTGGTATAAATTAGTTGCATATACAATTATTAAAAACTACTATCTGCACAACACAGATTGTTTATATTGTCTTCCAACTCTTGGTCCTGCTTTCTCTTCAATTTCTTTCAAAATTGCTTCACTGTATAGAGAAATGGTCCCAGTTACATAACATGTATGACAGTTACATAATATATACATTAAATATGTACATACTCACATTGTCATGTCACAGATGCTTTGTATTTTAGCCATATCAGTCACCATGCCTGGTTTTCTGGAGTAATAGCAGAAGAGGTGCAGGGGCCAAGCAGCATGAGAATAGCCACATGAGGCGACACCCTCAGTAGACAGTCTTTGGTTTGTTGAACCGCACATATCCCCACCTGACTCATGACACACAACTTCCAATTCCACAGGGACAAGACAGTTTTTCTATGTACAAAAAGACCAGTGTAATTTTATATAAATGTGTTTTTGAACAGATAATTGGTCTAAGAAGGCCCAGCGGAGGAAGACAACTGGTACAGGCAGAATGCGTCACCTGAAGGTTGTCCAAAGGAGATTCAGGTAAGCACTGTAGCTAATCACCAGTGTTGTTTCCTTACTCTTCTCTTTTACAGAAGTCTGGTATTTCCTGCCCATCTAGCTGATCTGTTGCTTTTAACTTGTCAACTGTAAGATTAGGAATGTGGTTTATTTTGTATGACTAGATGACTATGAAAACCATTACTAGGAAGGCAATTTGTGGTGCATATCAGCAAATAAAGATTGTGCGTCAAATAAAGCTTAACAATTTGACATTTGATGCTAGATTCATATTTTTTATGGAGCAGTCACCCCACAGTGGCTGATGTTATGAACATAATAGTGCAGTGGGAGGCTGTTATTTTTGAATTTCCAGGCTGATTTGAACCCAGATTCTTCTAGCAGCTGATTTTTTTCCTTTGAAGTGACACTAGTTTCTGTGTTGACTCAAACCTACCTAAAGCGGGTACTAGGTAAAGCCATGGCTGTTGGAGTGGTTGGACCACATCATTCATCGAAACAGAATTGGTCATTAAGTCTAGCATAATATATCTGATACGCTGCTGGTGTAAAATGGATTCCTTCCCTTCTGTTTGTACAAAATCAAAAATGATGTATGAAAAATGTCACAACTAGGACAGTGTCTGCTGTCATATTTAGAAGTAGTTCAGCAATCTAATAGGGATGGCCATCGGTGAGAATATATTGTTTGGAAATGGGAGCGGGGGGCATAAATCAGATGAGTCACAGGCATGACAGTACACCGTGCTACCTAGTGTTCCGTAGCTTGGCTGCCATTCATCTGTAGACTAACATCTAGGTGCCCAAAGCTAAATTTGAAGAAGGAAGAATTCATAAAATGAGTGTAGTTCATTATTATATATTGCTACTGTTCGAGTTAGGTAATAAATCCTCTTAAAGGCTAAGCTTCTACTCGTGAGTCTGTGTTGGCATTTAACTCGTTTTGTTCATGAGTTTCTTTTAAAATAAATGAGTTCATCTGCCTGAAAGGTGAGGAACCAACAGTGTGCTTAGAAAAAAAGATCTGTAAAATGAATGTGCACACAAATCATAAATTTTGGAACAACACTAATGTCCAGGAGTCGATGTACAGCCAGAACCTTCTGCCAGATATACATAAATAAAACATGATTCACTTATAGACTTTCATGAAAGTATCCTTGCCCCATGTTTGAGAGAATGCTTCCTGTGGCTCGATACCTGCAGTATATATGGCGCTGTTGCAAGGGATATACAGCTAGGTAGGTCATGCTTTAAAACAGTGCTGTGGGCTATCTTCCAGCCCATTGCGCAGGGGCTGCTGTTTGTGTCAGAAGTAGTCATGTAACATTTTGTGCCAGCTTTGCAATTTTAAAAAGTTCAAGTCTAGATCTACTTCGTTGCATATTTTTATCACACACAAGTTAAAGGCAAATATTCTGAAAGCAGTGTGGTTTGTTACAAAGAGAGCATGCGATATACAATGACATTTATCTGGTTGTTGTTTCAGAAATGGTTTCCGTGAAGGAACTGTGCCCAAGCCAAGAAACACAGCTGTTGCTCCAGCTTCATCGGCTGTTGCCACTAAATAAATGTTTGTTGAAGTTAAATACTTTCGCATTGATTTTTGTCTTGTTTTAAGTCATTTGATGCTTGAATTTTTATGAATGTTGGAACGCCAAAAAAATTATTGTATGTGGCATAAGCAGCGGGTGAGTGTGATATTATTGCAGAGATGCTCAAGGCAGCAGATGATGGAACCATAAACTGAAAGATTGGTTAAATTATTATATTGCAAAGAAACAAAGACCAAAGCAGTGGACAAAAATAACGTTAAAATTCTAAAGAAAGTTAATCTGACAAATAACTGTGGAGAGCAATTACACTTTTAGTTATGCCCCCGATTTTTTTGTAAAAAATATTCCCAGAAGATAATAAATGGCTAGTTGACAAAATCCTGGGAGAGAAACCACTAAATTTGTATCCATTAAGAAACTGCTTAGATCAAAAATATACCTTGACTTATGCTAGAGGATTTAACTCTTTCAGGGCGGCATTTTTCTGAGGTTTGGACAGCATTAATTTTAAGTGGAATTTTTTTAGTGCAACACGACAACGCTAAAACCTTCCTGAAGAAAATGTATGGGCTGTACCAGGACTTTTATCAAATAAAAGATAAATGAGTGCAGAATAAATCTAAATTACTTAAATGTAAGTATAACATCAAAATATTATTAAAATCACAACATTCAAGGATGTTAAACACATATACAAATTTTTGACAAAAAAATTGTGTGCTAATGTTATTTTTTTTACTGGTTCAACAACACCGCTATCCAATTCTAATACACATGCCTTCTCTGTTCAATTATGTATTAGCTAGTCTTTATTTGAAACTATTAATTAATACCCCGGATATTAATATCATTTTTGTATGACACGTCAATTTTCACAACTAAAAATCCGGGAAAACGGCTGATCAAAACATTGATCTAATTGAAATATTTTGTGAAATTTTCATACCCTAAACTAAATTATCGCTAGTAGATTTGTCCCTTAGAAATCAATCATAATATCAAGACTGTTGTCACCATCTGGCAGGGATTCGTCAACGATGGAGCAGTATGGACAGTCTTAGACCTTTTCCCTTATCATTTAGTATAGAAAAATCATGTAAAAATTGTATCCAATCTAAATAAAAAAATTTTAAATCACAAAATAATGCGCCGGCCACGATGAACGTCGCAAACGAAAGTACACCCTGTTGTTAATCCCAATTGTTAAAAAACTTGTTCATAAAAGGTTTTCCCTACAAACGGAACAAAATTAGAGTTGTATCCATCATGAGCCAGTAAACTGGCTTTACGTCTTTAAGGGATAGACTTAATCGCCAGTATACTGGCTAAACGTCCGTAAAGAGTCAGTAGACTTTTAGAAGGCTTTTGGTAACTTTAGATTGTGTTCAATATTTGTCGCTTTCTGTTTGTTGTGGTTTCCGCTCTTGCTGTTGCTTTTGAAATTTGGCTGGCCCTGTGCTGCGCTCCAGATGTTTTGGTGTTGAATCGATTTATTGTGGTATTCCTTGGCTGTTTGTTGTTTCCGAGGGAAGTAAATTGCCTATCCTAAGAAGGACCGGCGGTTGATTGACTTGGGCAGGTACTGATGGCAATACTGGTGAGGTCTGGTATTATTTGGTGATTTTCTCGTATCCTTGTACTACTCCTACATAGGGTCTCGGTAATTTTAGCCTTGATTGTTTCGTATCTGGTATTAGTGTTTAGTGTAACAGTGTCGACCTCGTTTGACTTCAGGTTTTGGCTGTCGATATGGTTCCTCTGGTGATGACCATAAAACATCATCTTGCAGTTCTGAGTAAAGAAGTTCGGGTCCTCCAGCTCCCTGATGCGTTTGTTTATTTGGTTAGTAGTTTCGACCGGAAACTGTTTCATCAGCCGCGTTGGTGTTTTCTTATCTGGTGTTTGATGTGGCTTTTTCTGGGTCTCGGCTCCCTGTATTTGCTGCCTTCTTGTTGCCTCTTTCCGTGCTTTCTCTCTTTCTTCCATCACTCTGTTGGTAGCTTGCAGTTCCTTATTAAGTCTGTTGTTTTCTTCGTATGCTCTATGTAACTTTGCGACTTCTTTCGCGAGAAGTTGTTGGTTATCCCGCAGGTCATTGATGCCCGCCTCGATTTCCCTTGCTTTAGTTGGTTGTTCCCTTTGTGTCTGGATAGTGGCCAGTGCATTCATGATGTCCTCCTTGAATTTCGTCATCTCTGCTGTCATCCGTTTCTGGGTGTCAAGAGTCGCCTGCATTATAGCTCTCAGGCCTGTTATTTCATCTCTTGTCTTCATCTCGTTGGGATTTGGATGCTTCTTTCTCGTCTCTGATAGCTTGGATGTCACTTTTGAGTTGAGCCACCTCGTTGCTTAATTTGGTGGTAATGGCTGCAGTTATTTGGGTTGCTTCGTGTCTTCTGCGGGCCTCGTGGTATGGAATCTTTTTCCGTATCGCCGTGGTTGCTATTTCTCTGCATCGTTGCAGATAGGGGCACCCCAGGTATCTGGAGCTGTGCTGACCGTGGCAGTTTGCGCACTTCCTGTTCGAATTGGGAGACCTAGAGTCTGTGTCCAGCTTTGCCAGCGGGCAATTGTCTCGAGTTCTTCTGATCTTTGCGACTGCCCTCTTGCCTAATATGATCTCTAGCATATTGATCAATGTTAGCGTTGTCAGTGTAGTGATTGCTGTCCGGCCCGAGCTGGTCTGTCGTAGAAATATTGTGGCAGGGAATTCATAGCTGCGTCTTTCGTCGATCTGGAGACGTTTGTGGTGTTGGTTCAGGTGACGCTGGAACGTCACTCAGGGCCTCACTGGTAGTCGGGGCGTCTTCCTGTGATCCGGTATTAACTGTCTGCGTCTTCCTGGCCGCCGAGTTAGATCGGTCAGTGAGTTGTTTCCTCTGTCCGTTGCGCTTTCCGTTGAGTTTGTTTCTCCGAGACATGGTGCTTGCGGAGAAGGCCTCTCGCTCTGGTAAATGCTTTGGTTCTGATGCTGCCTATCCTCACAAAGGACCAGCAGATATAGTGTTGTTATGTAGGTTTCAATCCTATCTGATGACAACTGCGGAGAAGTCCTCTCGCTCTGCCTATCCTCAAAGGGACCAGCATGAAGGCATCAATACTATCAGATGATTCAACAGTATTTTTATATCTCGGGGGGGGGGGGGGGAGGGGTGGTATAGTCATCATCATGTCTGCATATACTTCCAAGTATTTCATCAGGTGTCCACTAAAGGTTGTGTTGACCTTAGAGACAGGGTAATTGTTTAGGGACTCAAACCCACAACCTTCGGGTCTGCAGGCCAGCATCTAGTTGCCACACCTCATCGGCTTCCCTTAACCAGGTATATCGTCCCATAATTACATTAAGAGTTCGTGGAACTCTGTTAGCGACATTGTTAACATTGCACCAGCAGGAGATTTAAAAATTATTTTATTAAATTTTATGTGCCCCCCCCCCCCCTCCCAGGGTTAGTCTGTAAAACATCTCAAGGATGAGAATCAAACAGGTATAAATCTTGGAAACCCAGTTCAGCTGTGTAGCACGGTTATTGGGGGGGGGGGGGTGTTCAAACTGTTTAGCAGGCATTTTTATTTTTCTTCTTCGGGGCAGTAAAACTTGTCCTATTCTTTGCACCAGGAGAAACGGCTTTCATGTGCGACACACTAAGAAGAATAGATTGCATTAGTGGTAAGGCAAGATCACCAACTCTGGTATTTGATAGAGCAAGTGTTGAACAAGTTTTCTCAATGCTCAGGTGGCTGGGTCACACCTTTAAGGTGGTAGAGTCACTAAGAACATCCATTATGGAAAATTACAGATGGATAGATGTCGAGGCCGGCCTCTACTATGACAGAAAGATATTTGTAAGAATGGTACAAGTATTGAGGTAGATTTGTGGAAAGATGAACACAGAAAGGTGAGAGCTGAGAAGAAAACTACAAATATCTTGAAATCCTTTGTTTTTATGGGGGGGGGGGGGTGGTTACTTTCTGAATTACGGAGAAGTAAGACAGGTCGAGGGCAGACACCCAATTCAAACGCCAAATGAGTAGTAATTAGGGTGTCATCGAAGTACTTGTATAACCTGCTGTAAGGAGGTTAATAATTAAACTGGCAGTCTAGCATCTACATCGGTGCGGTTCTTCCGCTCTGCACAAGAAAAGAAAAAGACATTGCAGATCTAAGGACCAGCCTTGACTTGCTCTCCAAGGAAGCAGAAATGGTCCTACAGTGGATACTAGCCCACTGGTGTTCAAGAAAAGCTGGGAGGAAGCTCTCACAACCCCATCCATCACAGAGCTGAGCTAAAGCAGTCTTTCAAGAAGGAATGGAGACTACAGACCAGAGAGTGACATAAACAAACTCAACAGAAAAGAACAAACATCAATTGTTAGGCTCTAGATAGGACACTGTGGTCTTAGAGCACACCTGTACAGGATAGGCATAAAAGAATGCTGTATGTGATTGTGGGGCAAAAACACAGACCCCTGAGCACATTCACCAGACTACACTAACTACTCCCAGTAAAGACTGGATCCTGCCTCAGTTCAAGAGATGCATGGCTGAAACAATTCTTCATCTGAAGATCTAAATTTGTTGTGTCCATTTAAAACATGGCTGTGGTGGTTACGTCTTTTCACTAACCCTCTACAAACACTTGTTGCCTGGTTTAGACTTTTCGGTTAGTTTCATGGTGCATATTTTTTTAAAAGCCTCACTGTTTCCTAGTTTACAGATGGTGCCCCTCTCCATCAGATTGGCACAGAGCAACCTAGACGTGGTTCTCTGTTATTGGGTTCATCCCAGTGACACGTCGTGATCATCTCTCATGTGTATGTGGTTTAGAATATATTTAACGAAACACCTAGAGCTGTGACGTTGGCCTTCCTTGCTTTGTTATATCACATTTATTACTGTTATTACATCTTCCAAGTAACTTCTTCAGTAGACTTTCCAGCACACAATTACAATGTGAGGATGAGCCTCTTTTCTCATTGGCGTCGAACCTATCGTCGTGCGAAGGGTGTGATTC